TATATATATAAAGCCTAACTCTCATTCTCTCTTCACTGAATTGAGGCGCCGCATGAGGCATATCTGCTTCGCCCATTTTGTAAGTTTCTTGACACTGATTTCTAATTTTTTTTGAGTTGTTTTTGCATTTGAAGATTGAGATTTGACACTCATTGTTCTATATATGAATATTGGATTTTGGGAATTTGGGTTTTATATATGAATATTGTTGCCTCATATTGGTAATAGTAATAGGACTTTACTCAAACTTTTTATCTGACTCTAATTCAATAAACCCTAAATCCTTCTTCCAAGAACTGGATATGACTCTCAACTTGTCATCCCAAGGCCATCATAAGAAGACCCTCAAGAGTGACTAGACTTTTAAAACAGTTTTCAATGGGATTGTCTAACAAGTTTGTAAATATATTCATACAAAACAGGAAGATGTATTTTACCTTGATTTTTATTACCTATTAGAAATTGTAAACTATAAATATAATATTAAATAAATGTAGTTGTAAATTCTTTGTTTCAGTTTAATCTGCAGCACTCATGAATTTGAGAAGAGATCTTGTTTATAAGAGAAGGGCTGTCAAACCAGTAGCAACTGATAGTGATAGAAAATTTCTCATTGAATTCATTGTCACTACCTATTTGGGACCTGATGTCAAGTCTGATGATCCAAGATGTTCTTTTATCCAAAGACGAATGGCTGGATCCCCACAGTACACATTGAGTGATTTGGGATCTTCATATGTTACCATTGCTTTTTTGGAGAGATTGTATTACTATGTCCTCAGACATTCTCCTCTTGAACATATCTTAGATCTTAATATGTTCCATATGTATCTGAAGGGAAAATTAGTTCTGCCCTCCACAGATTTTATACAAAATAGCAAGCAGTTCACCAGTTTTTTCCCCTTGGATCTTCATGAACAGAAATGGTATCCTTATAGCTTCAGAATTATTAAAGGGATTGTTTTAATTGATGATCCTTCCACAGAATGCATCAAAGAGGAGGATTTAAATAGATTCAAGTCTTTAACTGGTGCCAGCACTCTCGAGGTAAATCTTAGTGAATGTTTGGAAAATGACGGTGGTCACAATTTTAAGAACAAAAGACAGGAGATTATTCAAAATATGGAATGTCAATCAGAAAGTTCTCAAGAAGGACACAAGAGAAAGCATATTGATGATACACAGTCAGTTCTAGGCCCTGTGTTCCCTACAAAACACAATGTCAAGGTTAATCCTTCCAATAACACATGCAAATCTAATGTGCCAACATTCATGCCCCTTCTATCTGTTCCTGATACTGAAGTCTGGAATCAGGATTGTTCTCTTGTTTTAACTGGGACAGCAAGAAAAGGAATATTTGGTCCATCTGTTGGTATTGTGGATATTGGTATTGGTGAAGTGGCATATCTATTCCGTGTTTCCTTAGCAGGAGTTCAGAAAAATTTTGGTAAGTTCTCTTCATTTACTCTGGTTTTTCTGTCATTTGTAAGGGTATGTTTAAGTAAACTTTTCTGTAAACTATTTAAAAAAAAAATGAAGTGAATTTTTTTTCATAAATTAAACCGATTTTGAATAAACTTATATGAGAATGTTTCTGCAGATTATAGTTTGTTCATAAGCTTTTTTTAGACTTTGAAGAAGTTTATATATTTATATTTTTCTTTACTTGAAAGTGTTTATGAAAAAATTTCATCCAAGTAGGTCCTTATTGTCCTGTTGGAGGGGTTGTTATTCAATTTATCATAAATGGACATGACCAGAATATGCATTATACCATGGAACTTTTTGTATCTTGATCAGAAGTCATAAATATTATCCAACTGCTTGGAACCTGCTTTTATTATGGGCTGATTGTTATTCTGTTAGTTAAGAATTCATTCATTTGGACAAACATTATGAGTGCTTAGAACTGCTACTGTCATGGTCTCCATGTGGTAGTTAGTTGTTTTGTTTGGTTCTGTTTATGTTGTACCAACTGTACAAATTTATACATAGACCTTTAGTTAGCACTATGTATGTACAAGTATTTCATTTCTTTCATAATTCATTCTCATTGGATCTGTGTGTGAGTGTGGGAGACATGTTTTTTAACAAAAAAGTATCAGAGTAGGAGAATAAAGTAGATACTGTCATGGTTTTTGCAAACATGAGTACAAATGTCACGCTTACTTTGACAATCATGAAAGCCAACTTAACTCAATTAGCCATTAGTGACATGGTAATGAGATTGCCTAAACTATCTTCCCGTGACAAGATGTGTGAAGTTTGTATCATTAGAAAATAATCCAAAAATTTAATTAGTTCTTATTTACAGAAGTTGCTCATTCTGACATGTCTGAGCAACTTGCAGTGTCACCTCTAGAAGGAAACAAATATTTCATTTCATTTGTTGATGAGTACAGTGGGTGTATTTGATAAAAAACTAGAGATGATGTATTCTTAAAACTGTTTAAAATTGAAACGATCCTGAAAAAATATCAAAAACTCTTAAAAAAAAAACTGAACCAATCAAGACTGAAATCTCTTTAGATTTTTTGGATCTACTCTTTTCTCAACTGAATTGTTTGATTAACTGAAGTAAACTGAGTCAAATAGCTTATGGTATTTAAATATAGTGTTTTATATTTATAGTTAATTGGCAATTAACATACATACATGAATATGTTTCTTGAAAGTTGTTCACTTGTTTAATTGTATTTTAATTATAATTATAATATATTTATATTTATTAAAACAAGATAACAAATTTGTACGTAATTTTTATATATAATTATGAATATAACATCAATCATACAAAAGTAATGCAGAACATGTTCTCTATTTAATATGGAACATTATTTTAGACATGTGCATGTACTAAAAAAACAATATAAATAAGAAAATCACTCATATTAAATAAGTAATAAGATCAAATACATAACACAAATAAACGGAATAAAACACTCAAAAAAGACATCAAGTACAAAAACAGAAAAGAAAAAAAATACAAGGTAGAAGAAGACACCAACCACTACTATGAAGACAAAGTTGGAAATGTTGACGCAGGAGCTGGAGATTGTGACATGATGGTAGTGAATAAACGGGTCCTTTTAACCCGAATCTTTGTGCTTGAACGGATTGATGTGGTTTAGAAATCTTTGGTTTTAACAAGCAACTAAACAATCTTGTTGTGTCTCCCTACCTGAAATTCATGTCATCTTGTTGTGTCTCCCTTATTCACATTATCAATTGAGTATCCAAGAATACTCTTGATTTTAATAACATTACCTGAGAATTAGTTGTTCTGTTGTAACTTTTTTTCATTCCAGTAAAAAATTGTGTATAGACCTCTTGTTAGTTCTATATATATTGAATGCTAAGCCCTCAATAAAATACAAGCATTTCATTTCTTTCATAACTCATTTTTCTTCGAACTGGTTGTGAGAGAGGTATTTCTTAAACAGAAATATGATATTTTTCTTAATGTTGGTGAGAACAGCTATTGATAGCTTGTTTGTGTGTAGGAAGACCTTTAAGAAGAATATGAACTTCAATGCTGTGACATCTTTTAATATATAAACAGCATTCAAGAACTGATAATTCTAGTAATGAACATGATATTCTATTAAAGCTAATACCTATTTCAACACCAAGAACAAAAAAAAAATGAAGGGGAGGGTTCACAGAAGTGTAAAACAAAGTGATGTAGTGAAAGTGTGACCATTTTCAATTGCAAATGGCTTCAATTAGAGTCTGTCTCAACTGATCCTTGTCCTGTTTTCCTTTTTTCAGAAAATCCATCAATCTTCATCTAGTGATAAACTCACAACACCCTGACCTGTACTCATGTTTTCCATAAAGATTCTTTCTTGATTGTTGATTAACATTATACTTTGTAGCAGGTACGTTTAGTTGTGATGTTCAATCTAATGGGAGGGTTCTGATCAAAGGGGTGGTAACTGGTGGAAAAACCATAAGAAAACAAGCACGAGTTTTTGAGATGAAAATTCGGAAGTTATGTCCACCTGGACCATTCACACTTTCATTCAGTCTTCCAGGACCTGTTGATCCAAGACTCTTCGTGGCTAACTTCAGGGCTGATGGCCTTTTGGAAGGAATTGCAATCAAGCAGTAGTTAAGGGGCAAGAGTTGGGAATCAAGCTTTTTTTAAGGCCAGAACCCAGATATGTCTCTTTCAGAGAATTGTTAATGACCTACTTTTGTTGGTAACTGTTAAGGTGAATGTTCTAGTTTCTTTTTTATGGTTCACTGGAAATGATCTTGTTAGACTAGTTATAAAGAATTAACATGTTTATGCAGGGAGGCATTGATTTTTGTTTAATCATAGGGGTGAATGCCTAACTAGGGGATGGGAATTGGAGTTTTTTAGTATCATTTATTGATAGTTGGTGGAAAAATATGATTTGAATTTCTTTACCTTCTATCCCATTCAACTCTTTTACATTTGCACACATCTAATGAGCAAAGTAAGAATGTGAAAGATAAGGTAATTAGTTTATCATGTGGTCTTTAGAGAAGATTAAAATGATAATTTGATTATTTTTAATGATATATTGTGTGGTCCATATTGTTATAAGCATCTTGTTGAAGTTGTGATTATGAACTATATTTAAAGTTTATAGTATTTCATATTCTACTAATTTAAACCTCATTTAAAATAATATTTTATTATTGATTGTCTCTTCTATTTAACTACAAAAAACAATTCTTTACATGAGAATCCTCTAGATCCAAATTGATATGTTCATAATACTCTCAAGTTTCTATCATAACACTATCATTAACCATTCTTGTAAAGAAAACAATATGCTTTAATAAGTGGCTTTTAAATTTAACAATTTTATTTAGTTTGTAAAGTGAAATTTGATTCTCCATAAGCACTCATAAATTCATGCCCTTCATCAATCCTATTCCAAATTTTCTACAATTTTTTCAAGCGAATTGAGTACAAGAAATAAGTATAATAACTGATTCAGTTCCTTCTATCCTCCACCCATGAAATTTTGCTATTCATAGATCATTAAGTTCCTTCTACTTCTATAATTTGTAGAGGCATAAACAATAACCATATAGTAAGTGACTAGACCATTATTAAAATAGAAAGATATGTGATGACAAAGAAATATGCAGTTTGGATCTAAATTTTTTTAATTTCCACCAAAGAAAGAAAACTTGACAAAGACCTGACTATTTTAAGTCACTTGTAGAAGACTGGGTCAATTTGGCTACGAAACCACCTTTGAGAGCTAAGCTTATTTCCATAATTTAAACCTATACTTCCACAAATTTTTATATTTTAGATTATATAATCTAAAATATTTTTTATTTCATATTTTAGAACGTAAAATCTAAATTAGAAATCTTTGTGTTCTGAAATACACAATCTATAATAAAAAAATTGTATTCCAAGTTATGTAATCTAGAATAAATTTTTTATTTTTTATTTTAAAATCTATAATATAAATTACAAAAAAATGTATTTCAGAATATAAAAATTTAAAATTTATGAGATTACTAGTTGAAATTATTAAGGTGCCGAAAGAAATGGACCATTTAAAATTTCAAGTTCGAATTTGACATTATAGGACCACCACAACATCTGAAGCTGTTTCATTTTATCATTGAAAATTATCCCTTTTTTTATTTTTATTTTCCAGAACACATGGAATTAACTTTTACGTTTCTCTTACGATTTCCTTTGACCCCTTTTTTTAACAGTAAAAGATCTGTCTCTACAACAGAGCACAGCCATGGTGTTTCTTGATGGATGAATTTGAATTCTTATTTTCTTTCAAATGCAGGGAGAATGTGGAAGCATAGAGCTATACAAGTGTGACTAATTTATCTCTTTGCTAGATATTACTGTAGATGTTTTACAGATTCAGATGCTGAAAGAACCCACATTTCTTTGCATATCATACGCTTGATCGAATACAAGGGATGGTTCTTCTGACATCTGAAAGCCAATTTGCTCTTGATCACGCTGTTTGTTAGTTGACCCCTTTGGGATCAATTTCATTCTTCATAGAATATATAGTACTAGATGAGAGGCCTGCCAATTTTCTGGCTTTGACCCTTTACCCACCGGAGCTTTACATGGTGGTTGCATGCTTCAAGTAAAATTAAGGCAAATTAAAATTCAAAGGAAGCTTCTTCCTTCTGTAGTCTGAACAAAACTTGCAAAGCATCATTATCCCTTGCATGTCTCCAGGATCCTTCATCAGGCAACATCCATATCATCAGATGTGGTATCATTGACAAAAAGAAAAAGAAATTAACAGCATACAAAGTCCCATTAGCAATATTTCCCCTCGGAAATCACCACCCGCTGATGCTGCACACAATAAAGGAAAAAGGGAAAAGTAAAAACAAGGTTCTAAGAAAATGCAGCAAATCAAGAGAACACCATAATTCAATTAATTTAGTATGTTCAAAAAAATCCCAGTCACCTGATACAGCAACTGATGATTTTAAAGGTAATATAAACTGCTACTGCTTTCAACTTCTTTAAATGTAATTGACATGCATGTAGGTGATGATGTGTAAAAAAAATACCGAGTGACCATGCCATCAAAAAGATTAGTGGCTCCACAAAGTATAACAAAAACTTCTGAAAGAATGCTTTAATAATATGTTGTCAGCATGATGCAAATCTTATCAGTTCCAAGTTTCAACTACAGCCAAGCATGAGAACTAAAGGTGAGTCTACATGACCAGATACACTTACATATAGAGGATGGAGCATGCATCTGAGACACCAATTTTTTAGATGTTTCTATACCCTGCCGACGCTTGGATCCATGATACAGATCAGAAGCTTCTTCAGTAGTGTGGCTGGCAGAATTCGAGGTGGGGGCAGCAGAAGGTGAATAATCAGGGGAAATGGATGGTTTAGAATAAGATTTTGGTGAAGAGATGGGATGATGTACGAAGCCACTATATGGACAAGGATCAGGAGGATGCTCAGGCACAACAGATGGTGCAGGTGAAGATACTTCACAGTCAAAACAGGGAGATGGCTCAGCAGTTGCAGGTGATATTGGAGAGTACGGACTAGCAGGATGTGGTGAAGTTGATGGCTCAGAGTGATCACTTAACTGTGGGGATGGAGCTGGAGAAGGAGAAGGTGAGGATGCATGAAGTTTTTTCTTCAAGAAAGTAGATAGTCTGACTTCTTTAACTCTGCCAAAAACTGAGTTATCAAGGCCAAGATTTTTGCCAGCAGAACCTGTTATTGTTTGAGCTAATTGTTTTAATCTTTGGGGCAAGAGGCTACCAAAGCCTGGCATGATTGAAGCCTGGACTACTACTGGAGGAGCTGTCGTTGAGCCATTTTCATTTGTTATTTGCACGTACACATTCTGCCAAAAATGTCACACGGTGTTAGATATCATGCAATGCGAACAATATGTATAGATGCATATATTAGCAACTGTGAATGGACTCAATTCCAACTTCTGATATTTTCCTGCAGCAAGCAGGATTTAGGATAAGGTGGATTCAATGGATTGACTTTTGTACATCATTCAGTGAAATTTCAATACCTCAATGTACAAAACAAGACAAACTATCATTCTCATTCGATTCATTTTGGGCTATGCTTCTTTGATTGTGCAAAGAATGAAAAAGCACAAATTGGATATCAATAAAATCTAAATTACAAAAATGGCAATACAACATGATTTTTGGGAATCCAAAAAGTGCATTGTTTTCCAACTACTAAAACAGGTAAACTAAAATTTTCATTTATGACCAAGAGAGCCGTAGCCATAAGTTTTCCCATCCCAGTAAAACCTATATAGAATTTGTTATCTTCGAGAAAAAATGGAAATAGTAATAATAATAATGAACATCTCTTATGGAATAAATTTCTGCCCACTTTGTTCTCTGTATTAAAAATTAGACATTTTGCTTTCTTCTTCCTTCCATAAAGATTTCAGTTAAAAAAGTTCTGATTACATTTTTGGTCCCTCTACTATGACTATTGTATGATTTAGGCCTGAAGAATTTTTTTGCTCAAATTTAGTCCCCAAGTTTTGTCATTAGATGCAAGTAGGGTCTGAAACAAATCTGAAATATACTACAGTTTTAGAGTTTGAAGTGAGTGGCATTTATAAATCAAAATTGAAACCCCTAAAATAACAAGGGAATCAGGTTATGGGGAAGTACCTCGTCAGAGTTTAGATGCAATCCAAACTTCAATTCTTCCTTGAAGTCATCAAAATTCTCCAGTATTTCAGATATTGAATTATTAAGAGTAAAATTAAACAGAACCTCAGGCATCTGCCAAATGTAAGCAGAGTACGGTGGTATTACAGTTAATCCTCCAGGAAACTTCAAGATTTCAAATATCGATGCATTCCCAAATATTGGTGGTGTCAAAGTCAGGTTGGATTGCTTGAGAAACAGTTCAATCAAAGATGATCTCAGCACACTCAAGGACACTGGATTTATTGAACCGTTCATCGGATCACACAGAACACCAAACACCACGTCAGTACAGTTAGGTGTAATACTTTGGTGCATGGACAGGATAGCCACCTGTTAAGATACAACAGCTTATAAGCCCCTTTGTATGCATAAACAGAATCTTAGGGAAAACTAAAAATATAAGAACAGAAGCATGCAGAAACCTTTGTATTTGGTAGAGCTATTTCGCCATATATATCATATTCTAACGTTTCAATATATGGAATAAGCTGTGAAACTGGATTTTCCAGTCTGAAGGATGTCTGGACAGCAGCTGGAAATATGTTCAATCAAATAAATAATCAATAAACTCAGTAATGTCAAAGAATTTTAACAGAGACACAGTCTATAATGCAGAAGATTGATCTAAGAAGAATAACAGAAAAAGAGATCAATACACAAACTTATTAGGTACAGTTGAGCAGATCACACATATTGCACAGAAACAAAGGATATGAACAATAAAAGGACTTTGCACAGTACAGATTTGCAATTTGCAACCTAAATAATTTACTCATATTGGAGGTAGTCACACAATGTAGGCCATCAAAGCATTGTTCTTTGACTTGAGTGGATCATGTTTTGAATCTATGTTCAAATCTTAGTGAGGTAATGTTTTTGTTGTTAATGATGTGATTAAAATCTTTGAAACACACTATTCCTGGATTTCTACAGAATATCCTAACATTCTCCAACTTAGGTTATAAAAGTTTCAGGAAACTAAAATGTTATACTCCGTGACGAAGCATTGTTAGGCTATTTTATAGCAGTGAGTAGCTGACTACTACTTTCAAGATCAACCTATATAATTACCCATAAACAATAATTTACAATTGTAACTACTAACAAGTTTTTGTTGTATAAAAAGAATTGAAATACAAAAGGTATCACGAGTTCTATATACGATTATCTGAAGGGAAGAAGAACAAACTGCTCTTACTGATAATTTAGAGCTTCATTCAAATAACAACTTTATAATTCTACACAAAATTACTCCAATATTTAGTTCCATACAAACTAATTTTACAAACATTCTTTTAAAATTTTTACATCGAGTGACTCGTACCAATCAGCATTTTAAATTCTTGAGCCAATATAAGCAATACATACACAACCTTTCACCAAATTCATGGGTTAAGCATATCACATTAGCCCATACCGAAGTAAATCCAAGACAGATGTGCACACACAATCAAACAGACAAAACCAGATAAGCATGTCAGATGCCAACAAACCATGGCACCTCTCAAAAAATCAAAGCATTAATTATACAGAACATTAATGATAGTTTGACAGCTATTCTTGCGGTTCCTCTTGGCATGTACTGCATCAAATAATTTTTGTTCACACAACTTTTCCCCAAAATTTATACAAGAAAAACCCTGCATTTGAATTTCCAGAACATCAAGTAAAGTGATAACAAACATCAGACTCAATCTAACCTCTACATCCACATGCCCAAGTGCCCAAAGGATTAGATATAATTCCTCATTGAACAATTAAAGAAGAAACTCTGCACTAATTCACTAAAAACACCAGAAAATCTAATTTTGAGGAACAAAATCATAACCAAGCCCCAATTTCTTCAAAACCTGAATTCCTGATAACCACTCAGTACCCCCTGATGACTGATATCAAATACACGATGGAAAAGATAAAATTTCCAATCATTCGATCACTGTAATACTAAAAAATTGACAATCAAAATATCAGAAAACCCAAATGCAAAATTTTTAAACTATTCCATATATCATAAGACCCAAAACCACAAAGAAGGCAATTGTTGGGAAGGAAAGGGAAATCGATTGAGACTGACCATTTTGCTTAATTACATCTCTTGCATCAAAACTATAAGTAACGTTGTGCCTGGGAAGAACCCAAAAGAGTGAAGAAATCAAAGCCGACAAACTGAGAAGGAGAAGGAACAGACACTTGAAACTGAATGGTCGAAGAAGGACCCAACAGAGTGGAGCCTCAACCTCACTCCCACCACTCTGCCCTTCTTCCTGCACATGCTGTTGCTCACTTTTCCCCATTTCCACAGCATCTGGAATCACCACCACACCCTCTTTCTCTCTCTCTACACAACACCACTCAACACCAAGAATAAGAATAAGAGGCCAAAGCCTTGTTCATGAGACTTTTGGCCATCACACCCTTCTCTCTCTAGAAAATCCACTGAACCCACTTCCCTCTCTTAACCGTAAGCTATCTCTACCTATACTTGTAAATGCAAACTCTCTCTTTTATTCCCTTTCTCTTTCTCAATTTTATTTTTTTTCAATTAGGGCTAACTTTTAGGCTACCGAACGTTGAGGAGAAGCAAAGGTGAAAGAGAAAGATAAAGGGTGTACGAGCCTAAAGCCAAAAGAATATTATGTTACCACCGTAGTATTATCCTTATCATTATCACCCACACACAAAAAATAAACAAAAAGCAAGAACTACCACCATTTCTTTTTTACTATATTTTTACCAACTCAAAACTACTGTTCAAAATTCATTTATAAAAAACCAATAGCCCTTTTCAAAATCTGCATGCGAGATTCTTCCTGAAAATGCTAGCTGTTAAGGTTATTATCTTATTCCAAAATTTCCAACACCCGCTACAATTTGATGATGATTTGCAATTTTGAGTTGGCATCTACTGCTACAAATACAAGCATTCAATAAGATTTTTTGTTCATTAGTAATAATAATTTGTGGTTTGATCAACGTGTGATTAAGAATAATATTTGACTGGAGAATGAATGTGGTTAATTTAGCTGAGGATGCTTTTGTGTGGAAGAAGCTGGGAAATTGGCTAATGAAACAGAGCCACGTGTGGGCAGTGAGGAGTGGAGAATCATGTTATTGGTCTCTACACCAATGAGACTCATGATATGTGCACGTTGTAATTGTCAGACCCAAACACTGCACACCAACAACACCTTCCACTTTCTCACCATCATGCATGTTTATGTTTTTTATTGCACCATTCAACAAAACGCGTTCTCTCTGTGTAAAAGTACTTTTTTTTATGTACAAAACTACTTAAAACAACACTAATTTATAACCATATATGGGGTTCACCGTGATAAACCACTCTCTACTCTCGTCAAATTTGTTAAATGAATGGAAATCACAACAACGTGTAGGCAAAAGCATTGTTTGGTGTAAAATATTACTGAAATAGATATATTGTAAAACATTATAAATATTGCAAAAACATTATTTCACTTTGACATGGTTTTATGAAGAAAAAAAATATGCCTAAAAGTAATAGGTCCATGACATAGATAGAAAGAAATATTCATGTCTTGTGATGGACAGTTAGTATATGTAACATTTATTATTTATGAATAGGGAGTATTTTAATATCTACTTCTAAACAAGACAGATGAATATCATATTACGAGTATTTATTATTTATAAAAAAATAAAAATATATTTTATATTTATAAATTAAATTTTAACAAATTTAATATTAGTTAATATTTTATTAAATTAAATTAAATTAAAATTATATTTATATTTAATTTAATTTAATTTATATTTTATATATTTTGAAAATTTATGAAATATTTTTTTTAAATATATGTGATATTTATGAATATTCACTGATTTTAAAATACATGTACATATTTTTAAATGGATATTCACGCATGATAATAAATAGAACTTTTTTTTGTAGATAAACACTATTTATCTCTGACGGATCTGTTATTATTTCTAAACACGATTTTAATATAATTTTTGTAAGAATTTATTAGTTTAAAATAATTTAAACTGGAATCGTGTTATATTAACATAATTTTAATTTTAAAAATATTTTGAAATAAATAGTATGATCTTGGCACAATTTTAAAAATATTACTTTGACATGTTTGTTAATTTTCGTAATTTTTTCAAAATGTGTCCTTTTTCTAAAACATTGAACCAGAACGGTGGTTTTGCCCATTTTATGAGTGAGGCTGATATCAAATTCATGAGGTTGAAGATTCACTAGGTTGGAGTGAAACACGGAACAATACCCTCTCAACAAGATAACTAAAAAGTAATATTTTAGTGAATTATTTAGTTTTGATATTGCACCAGTTAATTGGGGTGTTTCACTACCATAAGTTTCAATAATTTATAATTTAGTGTATACTTTAATTTTATTAAAGTTGTTTTGGTGTGATTTCTTTTTATTTGGATGCCTCTAGTGATCGGTGACTAATATTTGATTGTACGTTGCACTTGCTTAAAATATTACAACATTAACACGTGGTTACAGTTAGGTATCAATTACTAATTACTAAACGTCTGGAGAAAAGAAAGAGCTTATTTATAGTGTTAATGATTTCATATAAAAATAAACCGGATTGGTATTTTGTTTTCATAAATTATTAACAATTTAGTATACTCGAGTTATAGGTATATTTGAGAAGAGAATATGAATCCAAACACAAAGAATTAACATTATTCTTAACCAAAATTTTAAAACAATAGTTTATTGGATCTTTATTAGGGATGATAACAGGTCGAGTCGGATACGGATAATGTCTACTCACAACTCGATCCGACAAAAAAAATTCACCTGCTATCCGATTCGTTATTCGTACGGATATCCGCTTAAAAATTATCTGCGGATATTTTAAAACCTACGGATACTCGTAATACTCGCGGATATCTATAAATATTTAAAAAAAATGTTTTTATAAATTATTAAAACAAAATTTAAATAAAATTACAAAAATATATAAAATATAATATAAATTAAATTAAATATAAATATAATTTTAATTTTAATTAAATTTAACCTTATAAAATATAAATTAATTTTAATATTAATTTAATTTAATTAATAAAATATAAATTAAATTTTTATTATTTACAAGTAACGAACATCCGTACCTGACTCATTTATAAACGGGTATTAAAATACTCTATCCATAACGAAAAGTAATAAATATTTACGAATTTTATCTACGGATATTCATCGACGCTAATTTTTTTTGTCATGTTTTCTTATTTCTATTCATAAAATAGACTCACTCTTATAATATTTTATATATTATAACATTTATATATTTGTATAATTTTGAACTATGCCACGGTGCATTCTTGAACCATCTAAACGAGTTCGAAATTAATTTTACAATGGGCATGGCTTACTGTAAACGAAGGAGATAAGTTACCAACTTGAAAAGTGATAGAATTTTTGTGTCCACTAATTTAGAGATAAGAACAAAAGCAACAAAAGAAGGTCTCGTGATAATCTAGAATCTTGCAATTAGCAACGAAAAAGATAACAAAAAAAAGTGACATAACTCACATTCCATAAGGATATGGTTTGTACATTTTTCTTTTCTTAAACTAAAGTAACGACGACTTCGTTAATTGAAAGAGAGAGAAATTTCGCTCACTCTTTTTCTTCAATTGATCCAGTTTTACAACAACAAGAAAGTCATTTCCTTTATATAGGTACAAACAAACAAACACAGCACTAAAATAATGATAAAAATCTTACATGATTAAATACGATTGTTTTTATTTTTAATTAAATATCTAAAGAATAATTCCTTTCTTTTATCTCCATTTATAAAATTGTATTATGTGAGATTTCTATTTTCGTAAACCAAGAGATCAAAATAATTTAGTTTTCTTACAGAATCACGTTTGGTACATTTTAGTAAAAGAGAAACTAGAAAAAAAAACCATTTTTTAAGACTACAAATAAATAATACATTATTTTGTAAATAGTATTAGGTTTATAAGAAATGAGAATTTGCGAGGGAAAATTTAGATTCACATTTAAATTTCCAACAATCAACTAATTATAGTTTTTAAAAATAATTTAATTTTTATGTATTTTTTTAATATACAACAAATTGGAAAACAAGTATAACTATTAATCAGTATACAAATCAACAAATTTAGTGTACGTAATATTTTATTATTGGGTGACAATTTTGTTTTCTTAATTTTGTGATAAAAGATGCAATTAATGTTAATTTATGATTGTTTGGTTAAGTCATTAGTCAAACTAGTAGACATGGGCCATAAATTATAACACAATTAAAAAAATTGAATTTCTTAGTCTTCTAATTTTGACGACCAAGTTTGACCTTAGACGAGTTGAGGACCTGCTTTCAAATTTTATTTATCTTTTAGGGAACTTCGTATTTACGTTTAAAATTCAATATTGAATAATATTATATATAAATCTTCTTTTCTTTTGTGAATCGTTGAAATACATTAATCGGAGGATAAGAAAATATTATAAAAAACTAGCAGCTAAAAGCACTTTTGTTTTTAAAATAACTCTTAAAAAATAGACATCTCTTATTCGTTTTAATCTATCATTTTTTTATTTTATTTTTATATAAAAAATAGTCATCTCTCTTATTCATTTATTATAAATTATTAATATCGGAAAATTATTTTGTAAGAATAGATCAAGTTATATTAATATAAGTTACATTAAATGTTATACCATTAATAATTGTGTATAAAAAAAAATTGTCAACACATAAGATTATAATTTTGTATTATCATAATGATTTATGTTAAATTTTATTAACATTGAATAATGTTGAATTTTGTTTTATCACTTTTTGATTTGGTAATGATTGATAACACATGATTAATGTATTCAAATTAGTATATTTTAATATTGTTGTTAGGTGATTTTGTTTTAGTTAATTACAATTATAACTATAACACACACACACACACACATATATATATATATATATATATATATGGGTTTGTTAACGCGTGTACTGGGTTTTAGTGGACAAATATACCCTTATATATCATGGATTCTAAGTTTGAAGGTTAAGGTGTTTTAATAATTTTCATTCTCAAAACTAAAAAAAAAACTTTACTCACCTCTCTNAATAGACATCTCTTATTCGTTTTAATCTATCATTTTTTTATTTTATTTTTATATAAAAAATAGTCATCTCTCTTATTCATTTATTATAAATTATTAATATCGGAAAATTATTTTGTAAGAATAGATCAAGTTATATTAATATAAGTTACATTAAATGTTATACCATTAATAATTGTGTATAAAAAAAAATTGTCAACACATAAGATTATAATTTTGTATTATCATAATGATTTATGTTAAATTTTATTAACATTGAATAATGTTGAATTTTGTTTTATCACTTTTTGATTTGGTAATGATTGATAACACATGATTAATGTATTCAAATTAGTATATTTTAATATTGTTGTTAGGTGATTTTGTTTTAGTTAATTACAATTATAACTATAACACACACACACACACACATATATATATATATATATATATATATGGGTTTGTTAACGCGTGTACTGGGTTTTAGTGGACAAATATACCCTTATATATCATGGATTCTAAGTTTGAAGGTTAAGGTGTTTTAATAATTTTCATTCTCAAA